ATTACACATATTTGGTAGGACTACATTTGCCAAATTGTGGTACTAAATACAGCACACATTTTTCAGACTGCAACTCACTAAATGTAAAATAATTCACCTCAAGACAGCTCATCATTCCTCTCTTATTCAAAGTATTCAGGCAAAAATTGGTTGCCCCTAGAGATAGTCTATTGGTAAACAGCCTTCCTAATTTTAACAAACTCTCAAAGGGTTTCATGGCCACAGTCAATTATTCTATAACATCCAACTATGATTTCAAGCTACTAAAATCAAAATTAATAAAGCCAGAGAGAGATAAAATCTCCTGTGACTAAGTCCCTTCACTTATCTCACCAATCTCCTCAATACTAAAATCTAACCTGAATTCTCCTGCACAAAATTCCTGAACTTTTTCCTACTGCCTAGCACCCCCAACTCCAAATTTTTTGATCAGAAAAAAAACTATGAGCACAGCCCTCATATATGTATGTGTATTTCTAAAGTAGAGTAGAAAACAATATACTAGCATATTATGCACATCATAAACATATACAAAAACATTTTAAGATTAAAAATAAGTAGAAACAAATTTTAAAACTACACAAACTTAATTAGGTCATCTGCCCATCCAAAGTGCCAGCACATCATTTTTAATACCAGTGACCCAGAGCACTGGATCTCCAAATTCATCTGGAGATGGGGACAGGTTTATTCAAAGTAAGTTTACTATTGTGAGTATGCAAAACACACAGTAACTCTTGTATTATTATTTATTAATTATTGTATTATTTTTTATACATACCACTGTAAACCTACTTTTGCCCCACCCTATATAGAATGCAAAGCCACAACCCCATTCCAGCATCCATGACAACCTGGACTGGGCCTCTGTGTGTGAAATAAACTCTTCAGATGATTATAATGCATACAAAGTTTTAAGAACCTCTGGCATACAGGATAAACTCTAAACTCCATTGCATGGTCTATAAGTACTTCACCTACCAGTAAACTGTCCTTTCTTGCCACTCCTCCATCTCACTCTACTATTCAGAAATAAATGCTTAACTACTTGAAGTTCACAGTCCACATATCTAGGTTTTGCACATACTATTTTCTATACTTAGAACCCTAGCTCAACAACACAACCGGCCCCATCTTGTTCATCAAACTTATACTGGTCTTCAAGTCTCAACTCCAGCTTCCTTTGAAACCTTCACTAACTTCCTGAGACAGTTCTCCACTGCTCCTAATGTACCTCTCACCTTTTTAGCAATTACCTCATATAACTGAAAAGTATGTCTGTCTCTCAATAGAGGATCCTTGAAGGCAGGAAGCATGTCATTTCATGTTTGTATCACCAAAGGCTTCACACAATGCCTGACAAATAATTTAGTTTTTTAAATATGTGTTGAATAAAGGCATAAATAAGAAGCAAATAATGTTGGCTAGTTCACACTAAGAAGACTAACAAGACAGGGCACCTCCTACAGCAATTAAAAGCTGCCATACCTACTTCCAGCAATAACCAAAGATAATCAAATCAAGAAGGGAAAGCAACTATCATTTATGGAATATCTATACTCTTTTTACAAGTTATTTCTCATACCAAGAATGATGCTGTGAAGCAGGCACTATTCTCTTTTTACATGTATTTTGAAGTCACTAAGCTGAACTTCAAAATTTGTAAATGGTGATGCTGGAATGTGTCACTGGATCTAACTGCAAATCTTTCTAATGAAAGTCTTAAGAAACCAGAACATTAAAATAAGCACTATTACAGGGCACAAAGTACTCACTCACATTTACTTAGAAACCAGTCACAATTCTGACTCAAAAAGCCAAGGAGACCATGAGGTACCTGGAGTTAGTCTCCAAGATTAGATAAGGAAATTTCCCCAAAGGATGACCTCTTGAGATCTGTCAAACAGATCTAGAGTTCTACATAGGTACCATATCAGTACATAAAAAAAAAAAAGGAAAGAGTTTAATCCTACTTATGCAAGTATGAAGAAAAGCCAGGCTTGAAATGCCCGTCTCCTGATTAAAGGGTAAGCCTGTAATGTGCTCTGGCCAGATGGCTCCCAATGGGTTCCCTTTCCCCATAGCACTTAAATGTCACTGGTCTGCTAATTTAGCAAGATATTCTATTAATTCAAAGTGAATATCTGCTAAATTAGCTCTTCCCACTAGGCATTAGCACAATGATTGATCCTTTTTTAAAAATTAAAAGTACACAATTTTACATGCATAATAGAAAACATTCTTGTCAGTTATGTGTGTGTATAATCTCCATTTTGACAAATGTTAACTCTTCCAGACTCCTCTATTTTAGTAATCTTTCACCTCTTCTCCCCTGAAAGTATGCACACCCAGAGCCTACCTTAGTCTACTGAGTAAGGTCGTAAGATGACTTATCATTTCTTCTTGCTCATTAACACAAAACTACACCACACTTCTTTTTTTGTGTTAGGGGTATTAAGAGTAATTAAACAACTTGTTCTAGCCAAATGAATCCCTTGAAATTACAACATTTCTCTTTTTGCACAGACTTGTATAAAAACTGCTCTGAAAAACGAGGGGAAAGCTGGAACGTGAAAAAAAGGCACTGACTGTATTTATTTGTGCATCTGTCTTCTCCACTAGATTGTGAACTTTGAGAGCTTTGTCCAACCCCACCCCGCCCCCGGTTGTGAACACTAAACAACAGAAGAAGCCAGTATCTGAACTGATGATCATTTCTGGTGTACTTGCCAGTTCTCTGTCCAACTAATCCTCACAACCATCCCCTGTGATAAGCATGGCAGACTATCATTCCCTTTCTCAGAAGAATAACAACAACAGAAATCTCAGAGAGGTGAAGACACTGTTCAAAGTCACTGAACTAGTTACTAGAACTTTAACTTTTGCTGTCTTTTAGGTGCATGCTCTTCCAGGCAATAACACCAGTCATTACTGAAAATTTTGTTTAAACTTTCACTGAAATGTATGAGGCCACACAAAGGTAATTCACAAAACATTTAAATGTATAAAGCCACACAGAAGATAATTTATAAAACACTTAAATATTCTGTACTTGCCAAAAAAAATTCCTTATTCAAATACTAGAATAGTCCTTAACTGAAAAAGATTTACTTTTTGAAATTATTAGTTTCAAGTGATTCTACAACCAACAATACAAAATGTGGTCTGCTTTTCCCATAAAACTTCTCTCATTTTATCTGATCATATATTTGAGCTCCTCTGCCTTTCCAAATTTATAATCCACTGTGACTAGCATTTGTTTCAAATTAGAACCATAAAGCACCTTCCCCTGCTGCCCTCCCCTGAAAAATATTAAGCACCTCCTATGTCAATCTTGATAAGTGGTTTTTGGTTTTATTTTTACCTTTACTCTTCAAATGCACAGAACAGCCACTTGATACACAAAAGCAAACATAAATATTATAAGAATAAGTAAACTCACCCTGGCTGGCGTAGCTCAGTGGATTGAGCGCGGGCTGGGAACCAAAGTGTCCCAGGTTCGATTCCCAGCCAGGGTACATTCCTGGGTTGCAGGCCATAACCCCCAGCAACCGCACATTGATGTTTCTCTCTCTCACTCTCTCCCTCCCTTCCCTCTCTAAAAATAAATAAAATAAAATAAAATAAAATAAAATAAAATAAAATAAAATAAAATAAAATACTCAAATATTTTTTAAGACTTTAAAAAAATTTATTTATTTTTTGAGACAGGGGTAGGGAAGGAGAAAGAGAGGGAATGAAACATCAATGTGTGGTTGCCTCCTGAGCCCCACTACTGGGAACCTGGCCCGCTACCCAGGCATGTCCCCTGACTGCAAATTGAACCGGTGATGCTTTGGTTCGCAGACCCATGCTCAATCCACTGAGCTACACCAGCCAGGGCAAATTTTTCTATTTTTTTACTCCAGAAAAGAGCAATGATAGAACCATGACAGATAAATAAAAAGATAAAATAAAAGATAAATAAAAAGATAAAGCCGTGGCTGGTATAGCTCAGTGGACTGAGTGCGGGTCTGGGAATCAAAGGGTCACCAGTTCAATTTCGAGTCAGGGCACATGCCTGGGTTGCAGGCCAGGTCCCCAGCAGTGGGGTGCATGAGAGGCAACCACATATTGATGTTTCTCTCCTTCTTTCTCCCTCCCTCCCCCTCTCTAAAAATAAATAAAACCTTTTTCTAATGAAATTCTTTTTAAAAAAAGAGCAAAGAAAGGGCTTAAAAAGATATTTCTCTAAAGATACAAATGAAAAGATGTTCAACATCACCATCTCTTAAAAATATGTAAATCAAAACCACAGTGAGATACTACTTCACTTCCATTAGGATGGCTATTATCAAACAAATAAGCCAACAAACAAAAAAGAAAAGTAACAACTATTGGAGAGGAGGAGAGGTCCTGAAGAAGTTGGAACCCTTGTGTACTGCTAAATGGGAATGTAAAAGATGTATCTTAAAAAGTTAAAACATAGAATTACCATATCATGCAGAATAAACCCAAGGTATATAAAGTTGACTCTTGAACAACACAAGTATTAGGGGCGTTGACACCCATTCAGTTGAAAATCCATATATAACTTTGACTCCTCCAAAATATAATTACTAATAGCCTACAGTTAACTGAAAGCCTTACCAATAACATAAGCAGTTGATTAAAATGTTTTATATATGCATTATATACTATATTCTTACAACAAAACAAGCTAGAGGAAAGAAAATCATAAGGCAGAGAACAGCATTTAGTGGGAAAAAAATCCATGTATAAGTGGGCCCGTGCAATTCAAACCCAAGTTGTCAAGGGTCAACTGTACTCATACATATATACCCAGAAGAATCAAAAGTAGGGATTGGAACAGATACTTGTATACTAATGTTTACAGCAGCATTACTTTTGGCTTCACAAAAACGAAAAAGTGGTAACAATCCAAACATCCATAAACAGATGAATGGATAAACATCTTATCCAGCCTTAAAAAGGAAATGCAAGTGGCTCAGAGAAGTAAAATGGGGGTGAAATCGGACATGTTTCAGATAACACTGTACCTCACCTTCCCTGTGACTATATTCTGGATTGCCAATCCGTCCCAGTGGTTTGAGGACCTCATACAGCGAAAGAAGGAGCTGTGGCCACCTGAGGAGAAGCAGTGCCAACAGCTAGAAGAATTCAAAGGGAAGATGAGGAAGCAACAGGAGAAGCTCCTTCCGGCTGCCCAGCAGAGCTACTGAGACCCCCAAGTGCCTGAGTCCCACCCATGAAACAATACAATTCAGTTCTCTTTCTCATGAGGAAAAAAAGGAAGGAAATTCTGATACACACTACAACATGAACTTTGAAAACATGCTAAATAAGCCAGATACAAAAGGACAATGTTATGATTTCATTTACATGAGGTACCCAAAGTATGCAAATTATAGAGACAGAAAGTAGAATAGAGGTTACTGGTGGGGGTGGGGGTGGGGGTGAATGGGGAATTAGGAATTACTGTCTACAGAATTTCTGTTTGAGATAATGAGTAAGTTCTAGAAATGGAAAGTGATAATTGGTTGCACAACGATGTGAATGTGCTTAATGCTATTGAATTGCACATTTAAAAATGGTTAAAATGGTAATTTTTATATAATGTATACAGTTATAATTTTTTTCAAAGTATAGCTACAACTATTATTTTCCCAATACTAAAGTTAGTGTACAATGAAGGGGGAACCTCTGCAGATTGAGGTTATTCATAAATTATAATAAAAGCAGTTGTCATTTTACTGATGAAGAAAAACATTTCAGCCATTTTCTCTATCCCAAAACAATAGCATTGTAATAAAAAATAAATAAAAAACATTTACTTCACCCAATGAAGAATTTTAGGCTCACAGCAACACAATTTACAATAGCTAGATGCTGGAAACAACCAAGATGCCCATCAGTAAATGAATGGATCAAAAAATTATGGTAAATTTACACAATGGAATTCTATGCAGCAGAAAGAAAGAAGGAGCTCCTACCTACCCTTTGCAACAGTGTGGATGGAGCTGGAGAACATTATGCTAAGCGAAACAAGCCAGGCAGCGAAAGACAAATACCATATGATCTCACCTTTAACAGGAACCTAAACAACAAAACAAAGAAGCAAGCAAAATATAACCAAAGACACTGAAATAGAGGACAGGCTGACAGTGACCACAGAGGAGAGTAGAGGGAATTTCAGGGGACATTGGAAAGGGTTCACGGGAACAAACTTAAAAGTACACATGGTCAAAAACTAGGAGGAGGGTGGTAATGGGAGGGAAGTGGGGAGGGGTGGGGGGGCTGGACTGGGAGTAAAAAGTTTTCTTTTTACTAGTTTTCTTTTAATCAGGAACAATGATTAAAATAAAATTTAAAAATAAATAAAAGAAATTTAAAAAAAAAGAATTTTAGGCTACTGTGATATGCCTTTCTGTATCTTTTCAAGGATTTAAACTGTGTTCACAGATCGCTAATTAGTGACACCATTAAATTGGAATACTGCCTCAGTTTCAAAAGCAGCACATACTAAGAAAGTAAGAAGAGGCCCCCAGTGGATATACAAATAATGGCTAGTTCATTAAATTCCATTCAACAAGTACTTACTAAATGCATAGTACCTATGAGAGAAACCAAGACCAAAAAGTATTGCAAGGTTACAAAAAGGGAAGTTGATGACAAAAGTAGGCTCACATTAACCCAGAAAGTCAGTAATACAAAATTACCCTTTACTGCTGCCTTTTAAAAAGTTAAATGCAGCCCTGGCTGGCGTAGCTCAGTGGATTGAGCGCGGGCTGCAAACCAAAGTGTTGCAGGTTCAATTCCCAGCCAGGGCACATGCCTGGGTTGCAGGCCATGGCTCCCAGCAACCGCACATTGATGTTTTTCTTTCTCTCCCTCCCTCTCTCTCTCTCTCTCTCTCTCTCTCTCTTTCCTCCCTCCCCTCTCTAAAAACAAACAAATAAATAAAACCTTAAAAAAAAAAAGTTAAACGCATCCCAGTTATTTAATGTTCACAGTCGGCAATACTGTGGTTCCGGTTGCCATTTTTAGATTATCAGGAACTTGATAGTAAGGTAAATGCCCAACACTTTAGGTACTTTTTTCATTAACTAGACGGTTAATTAATTATAATGGGAACTGAATAGTTTTGTAACTGCCTTTCTATAAAAGTCAAGTTGATTTCTAATTTATTACAAACAAAACAAAGTTTACCAATTTCCCACTGGGCAAGTGTGCCAACCGATTCAATTTCCTATAACCTTATCTCGGAAACCAGGCGCCCCATCTGAAACTTAACGCTGTATCCTCCGGCCCGATCTATGCAGTGTGTGTTCTAGACGAGTTCCCCCGAGCACCCACAGCCCAATTTCAGCTGCATTCTCTGAATATAAGGAAGTCAGCAACCACTCATCTCACGTGATCTCTAAAAGGGGCGCAGTCGAGCCCGGAATAAACCAAACTCCTTTTTTTTCTTTCTTCTGCATTAACTTCACTGCCCAGCATAAAGGAAGTGGGCAGAGAGATGGCGCAGGGCCAGTGTGCAGGGGAGCCTAGCAAACAAGCGTGGGTGGCTGTGCCTTCTACTCTGGAGGAGCTCGGAGAGAAGGCACACCCCGCTCACGCGCACTGCAGTGGCTGGAAAATCGAAGACTGCCACACCCCCCACAGCCAGGGGCACGACTTCCTCCCATCCTGCTCGAGAAGAGAGTCTACTTTACGAAAGCCCCACCTGCAGGGTACTGCCCAGGATCCCCACCACCCTGACGTGCAACGCCCTTGAGCCCTGCGCGGGTGGGACTCGGCGCTGGTGGGCGGCAGGGGTGGGGGGAGAGAACCCAAGCTACCAGCAACTCACGCATGCGCAGATACAGGCGCCCGCCAGTTCGCCTACCGTTGGAACCGCGACGCCCCGTCCCCCGGCCGCTTCTCCAGGACCCGCAGCGTCGGCAAGAGGACGAGAACTGAGGCCTCAAGTGGCTCCGCTGCCGGCGAGCCTCTTCCTAAGGAGGCAGCTGGTGGGAGGCTGAAGCAACGGCTGAGGCACAGGGCCAGCCCGGGAAGTAACCCCCGGATGCCCCCGGCAGTGGCGGCGGCGGCGAAGACGGGAGAGAGCGAGCGAGAGTGGCACCGGAGGCAGTAACTGAGGCGCAGAGCCTCCCTAACGGCGAGCGGGAGGAGAGCGGAGGGAGCAGGGCGGGTAGGGGCCCGGCCGGACGTGACGTGCGTGGGAGGGGCGGGGCGAGGGCGCCGAGGGGGCGGGGGTGCCCTGCATCCCCCTACCCCCCACCCCCACCCCGCTTGCATTCTGAGGGTTTCGGAAACGCAGTTCTCCTCCCAAATTTGGGCCCCGGGTTATGGTGCAAGAAGTCAGGCGCGGGCCTGAGGGAGGTGTCTGGGGGAGTCCTCAGTCTGGGAGGTAGGAACAAAGATAGAAGACACTGGGGAGGGGATGTATGAGGTATAAAGGACCAATACGGAAGACAGAGGTCGCGTCTGGTCTCTGCGGAGAAGGTCGTGCCCCCGCTGCAAAGACCGGAATAACCAGGTGCTCGTGTCTAGGTTAGGGGCCCCGAGACCTTAATCGAAAACCACCGGGCAGCCAGAGGCGGTGACTCAGGTTTCCATTCCCAGCGATGGGGGTTAGTTCTAGAACCATTCCCAGCCCCACCCTGCCTCTTCACCTAAGGATAGGACCCAAAGTCCAGAGAGAGCGAAACTGCCTCTGGTGCCGAGGGAGTCTGGGAATATGAAAGTCGATAGGCATAATTCTCACAGGAGGCTTTCTATGCTAAACCAGAGTTTGGGAGGCAGAGCTGAAAGGAGGAAGAAAGAATGAGGAGCTCTCTGAGCCTGGGTAGTCTGTACTTGGCTTGCATAGCCACCCAGACCGACCCTGCAGCTCCCAGATGCTCAGAGAGGTTTGCATATTCAACCAATGTCTGTTTTGCTTTAGTCTATTAAGGCCTTTAAGATGTTCCATTTAGTAGAATACAGTGTGCTGCCTTGAAACTCTCTGGCAGTAGTAGATCCACACCTGCACAAAGTATTCTGGGTGTCTATAAAAATATAAACCACCGCGATTTGCTCATCCCCTACCTGCCTCAACTGGAAGTCAGTAACCTGGAAAATTTAAAACAGGAACCTTCATAGAACCTGGGACAAGAATTTTTTTAAAAGTGTCGCCCTATAAGATGATCTATAAGTGTGTCATCAGAGAGAGTAAAATAAGTCTTCTGTAACCTAAGTGTCACATACCCAGGTGATGCTGTCATAAAAGAAGGGTGGGGTCCACAAAGAGCATAATCTGAGTAAGAATGAATTGTGAGCTCCCACTCTGTCCAGAAGAGGGGTTATTGATTCTCATGACCAGGCCCAATACCCATTATCAGGACAGTTAAAAAAATTCAGATTCAATCATTCAGTCAACAAATACTTATTGAATATTTACAATGTTTTAGTCTCTTGTGATACATTAGCAAATAAGATTCATGCCTTGCCCTGGCTGGTGTGGCTTAGTTAGTTGGGTGTCATCCCACAAAGTGAAAGGTCACCGGTTTCCAAGGTCCTCAGGGTACATGCCTGGGCTGCAGACGTGGTCCCAGGCTGGGGCCTGGTTGCGGCCTGGTTGGAGCACATAGGAGAGACAGCTGATGGATGTTGTCTCTCACATCATTGTTTCTCTCCCTCTCTTTTTCCCTACCTTCCCCTCTTTCTAAAATAAATAAACAAATAATGTCAAAGATAATAAGATTCCTGCCTTTTTCGAGTTTATATCTAGCAAACTTAAATTCTGAATATCCTTTAAGAACATACAAAGACAGGAATGGGGGGGAGTGGGGCGAGAAAATGCAGACAACTGTAACTGAACAACAATAAAGTAATTTATGAAACAACAACAACAACAAAAAAGAACATACAAAGAGCCCTCCTGTGATTCCATATTCATAAAGTAGCCTTCCCGTCACTCAAGGGGTCTCAGTAAATCAGCACACCCGATGAAAAACAATTGTCCAAGGCACATGACTGGTTCCAGTTATACTAGCTCTACAGTCTTTCTCAATAAATTCACATCATGGTTTATAAATCAGCCTCTGTTCACTGGGTTGGATTATGGGATTGTTTTTATCCAAATTAATTTCACAGAGCCTGATTAAGTTTGAGTGAAGTGAAATGTAAGTTTCTGAAGCTACCAAACTGAGCACTAGGCAGACCCTGCTTTCACAGA